ATTTCCCCAAAGGTGAGAACTCCACACCCACCTGGATATCATTATATACATATAAATGATTAATAATCAGCAATAAAAAAAACTTTAACAGTCAAAACGAGGCTAGGCCAAATAATCCACTTTGGCTGCCGGACTATAACGGAGAACTTTGAAAATCAAAGTGCGGCTAGCGCCCACCTGCTCCTTCCTGTCGTCGCTGTAGATACGATGAGCTCGCATTAACTCGCCCTTTAGATTACCCAAGGAGGGGAACCACTTTGGAAGCGAGTCTGTCAGAAATTGTATGGCGTTAGACCCTTCAAGTCCTTCTGCTAGCCCAGTTATAAGGACGTTGCATCTTCTGCTCCGGTCCTCCATGTCCGCTAGCTTGAGTTGCATCATGTCCGGCGTATCCTCGTGGGTGGCTAGCATACCCAAATTTTTCACCACATCCAACCGTATTTTGCCCATCTCTGCCTTAACGGTGCCGATGCTTTCACTCAGTACCATCAAGACCGTTTGGATAGAAGTCAATTTCCCCTCCGTCTCCTTCCCCATCTGTTGGAGTTGGTCGAAGCGCAAATCCAGATAGCCTCGTTGCTTCTCAAGCACCGTGTCGGCTAACGCCTCCATGTCAGGCTTCCCCCTCGTCTCGGGACCCTTTTTAGGCGGCGACTTTTTGCTCAATTTAGACATTGCCTTCGATCAAACACTCATAGAGGCTAAAATATATATTTTTTAAATTGTCTCAACGGTAGGCTATATATTTACAGAATTAGCATCACTGGGTTGAGCAAGTTTAACCTATGCTGCAATCTTGTCCAGCTGATCACGTGACTCCCATTTCCTTTTTTCTGTGTGTATTTTTTACATTTTGGATTTGCTTGGCGAGCTACTTATTGAGGGCTCGCGAGCTACCGGTAGCTCGCGATCAACGTGTTGGAGACCCCTGCTCTAATGGGTCCGACTAGAAAGACAAATAGCGTTAGTTACACCTATTACGTCAGCCAGTAAATCGTTTAATCATAAACTTTTTATTTTTATTTTCAGGGGGGCCCCAGGGTGGTCCAAAATCAGTGTTAGGGGGGCACTGGCCTCCCCTGCCCCCCCTAGAACCGCCCCTTAAGTATTACAATTAGACACCTTGTCTATGAATTCTGCAAGGGGAAAATGGACTTACAGGTGGAATAAGCTACAGAACTGCATTAAATAAGAATAATGAAAAAATATTAAAGCCCAGAACTCCAATTAAACGGTGTTCAATATTATCAGTACTCGTGTTTTCCTTAATTTATATGCTTGTTATATGTTTTTATTTCTCTTCCTGTGCTTGTGTCGTATATTAATGTAGCCCTATCACTCTTTTTTTTATTGTATAACGCATCATTGGGTTTGGCTATCTTCAAGGCACCTTGGTGAAAGAAAGCTTAAATCTAGATATGTGTCCCTGATTAAATAAAAGGTTATCTATCTTGTTTATCTATAAAATAAAATAAAATGTATATATATAATAGGCCCATTGATACTTTATTCTATACTACAGTTTTTTTCAAAATATTTTGTACACTGAGAAATTCTCCTTTATTTAGTCTGTATATATTTATATCAATATTTGTGTTATTTAATAAAGTTAAAGTTTGCATGCAATGATTTTACTTGCACATTTTTATTTTATGTGAATTGCTTCTTTTGGTCAGTGCGTATATTGAAAGATTTACAAAGTTCCAGTCATCTGTGATTCTATCACTTGTAGTACAGGCCTCCCACCACACGGGGTCGCCATCGTCGTGTCGGTCAACAGAAACACGGAAACTAGTTCAATGTTTATCAACGGCTACATCCTGTTGGTCACAGCTTCTGTTTTCCAAATGATCTGCAGCTGTTCATAGTTTAAAACGGTCTATATTTTGTCCGCAAAGCTTGGTAGAATAAACCTCCCTTTGCAGTTCATGTCGACCTGACGGTTCAAGAGACTTTACTCTGAAAGATCTGCCTGCACGTCCTGGTGGTTGTTCTGGCGTGCTCCAGGGTTAGCAAGTAACCGTTGGCCTGCTGCGAACAGCGATGACGGCAGACAGAGTTTCTCTTCCTGCGTATTGACCTATGGTATTGAATCAAACCAGAGGGTGTCTTTTCATCATGGCGAGTGAAAACAGCGAAACCAACGCAGTGAACGGAGATGAGACTGTTCCCTCATCCGAGACAAACGAGCATGACTATGCCCACGACTCCGCGGACGGTAACCTAACTTCTACGGAAGCGTCCTCCTCAGGTGCACCAGCTGCTAACGAGGCTGTCAGTGCAGAGAGCTTCACGACAGCGGCCGAACCTGAGCCCAGCTCCTTGGGGCAGCATACCCAGCCGGTGGAGCTTCCCGAACCGGCTGTTGGTGCGGAGGTGGACTGCCCCGGTGGAAACGATGTGGAGGCGTTTCCTCCAGCGAACACCGAAGAGATATCCCATAAGACAGACCCATGTCTACTGGCTGCTACGACCTCGCCCGCTCTGCGAGTCGGTCGCCGTAGACCCAGGCGGCCCGAGGACAACAACTGCTCCGCCTGCCACTCTGAGTTCGAACGGCAGGGCCGCAGCTTCAACCGGAGGGCGGTGTACACCTTCTCCACCCCGGAGACGGTGCAGTGGGCATTCCCGGGCACCTCTGTGCACGAAAAGTCCTTCCTGTGTGAGACCTGCGCCCAGGTCATCAGGAGCAGCTGTAAACGCAGACAGAGTGGGAAGCGGACTCTGTGGGTGAAGCCGCCTCAGACAAAACAGGTGTGGGATACATACGGATAAGAGCGGTATCTCCCATCATACATTCTGCAATGTATTCAGGCGAAGCCCCTCTCACTTCGGATATCTCCCCTTAAAATGTGTATGGCAGTCAACATCAACAGACACATAATGTTATTGTGTGAATTATGCCATTAATAACACATTTGAAGTTTAACATTTAAAAGATACATTTGATTGCAGTTCGTCGTTGGACCCCTTAGTGTGGGTGAAACGGCTGACCTTCTAATTTTGTATTGCACTCACAAAAAATAGCTAGATAACTTGCTATCTAGTACGCAACATTCAGAAATGTAACATATTTGTTGTACCTGGCGTGTTTCATCCTGCAACTCCCAGTCGCTCTATCAGCTGTAAAACAAGCAGGACCCATTGTGACACTTGGTCTGTGGGCTATGATATGTTAACCATGGATATGGTCATGTTCCACACAATGGAGAGATGCTGTATGAATCTTTGATGTTTTCTTTGTTTCTCCTTGGTGATGGTGACTGCAGTCAGAGGTGAGGGACAAGAAGAAGAAAGGCCGCAGGATGGGGAAGAAGAGCAAAGCGGCGCTGCTGGTGAGCAAGTCCTGCTACAAGGCTGCCTTCAAAATGCTCTGGTCAGCCAAAGGTGCCCGAAAGCCAATGATGGATTTCTGGAGCAAACAGCTGAAAGAGGAGGTGAGGAGAGCAGCTACTAAAACCGTCTATTATAACAAACACATTCTGCTTTAGGTCTCCAAAAGAAACATTTCACCAATGTTTGTTATAAGGGAGGCGCAGATACAGACCCTAGTCATTCTTTGGATTTGTCAATTTGCTTCAATTTATACGCGCTGATGATGGCATTGCTGCACACAGCGGGACATGCACTTGAATCACAGTGACACACACACACACACACACACACACACACACACACACACACACACACACACACACACACACACACACACACACACACACACACACACACACACACACACACACACACACACACACACACACACACACACACACACACACACACATCATGGCCAAAACAAGGTTTTGAAAACAAGAAGGTCTTTTAACTTAGTGAGGGAAAAATGCTAATCCATGTTTTATTATAAACATAAAATGTAATTAACTTTTCCATTAAAGAATCTTTACTATAATGATTGCACATACTTAAAATTATACTTCTTATAAAGATAGAACATTGTAATCAGCAGGTCAGGCTTTGCAAATTGTGCATCTCTAACTTTCATGTCACATGTCCTGGTGTGTTTCCTGGTGGCGGTGCAGATGAAGGCGCTGACACGGCAGACGGATAATCCTTTCCATCAAAAAGTGACGAGCAGGAAGCCGCTGTCATGCTTCCCCTGGCGGCGTTGTCTGACCTGGGCCCAGGAAAAGGCTCCCCTCGTCACCGCCTGCCTGACCTCACTGTTCCCCGACATCAACAGCCTCTCCAAGAGCAGCAAGTAAGTCTGAGAGGACACACACACACACACACACACACACACACACACACACACACACACACACACAACACACACACACACACACACACA